TCTGTTTAATTTTAGTTTATTTAAATGTAAATAGCCACATGTAGCAGAGGCAACTGTATTGGCCAGCACAGTTTCATTTTTATTTTATGTAATTAATTAGTTAATTATTTTATCAAAGTATAGTTGATTTGCAATGTGTTCATTTCAGGTGTACAGCAAAGTGATTCAGTTATTCATACGTATATATCTATTTTTTCTCAGATTCTTTTCTCTTATAGGTTATTGGAAAATATTGAGTAGAGTTCCCTGTGCTATACAGTGGGTCCTTGTTGGTTATCTGTTTTATATATAGTAGTGTGTATAGGTTAATCCCTAAACTCCTAATTTATCCCTCCCCCTGCTTTCCCCTTTGATTATCCTGTTTGTTTTTTATGTCTGTGGGTCTACTTCAGTTTTGTATGTAAGTTCATTTGTGTCATTCTTATTAGTATGGTAATCTCTGGGTCTCTCCATGTTGCTGTAAATGGCATTATTTCATTCCTTTCTATGGCTGAGGCAACTGTATTGGCCAACACAGTTTTAGAAGGGTGATAGGTGGGATGCTGAAGAATTGGAGAACAGGAAGAGCAATTCAGAAGCTGTTTTGTTACCCCCGGTGAGAGATTTTCAGAGTTTGAATAAAGGTCCAGCATCCCTTAGCTGTAATCCCCAATCCAGAAAATTCTGAAAAAAGAAAACATTTTAGTATTTGTGTTGGTGTTAAAATCTGACCTGACCTGAATTATTTGGTAGCAATCCCCGCACTGAACTTAATTTTTTTTTAAATTTTTATTGGGGTATAGTTGCTTTACAATATTGTGTTAGTTTATACTGTACAGCAAAGTGAATCAGCTGTATGTATACATATATCCCCTCTTTTTTGGATTTCCTTCTCATTTAGGTCACCACAGAGAACTGAATAGAGTTCCTTGTGCTATACAGTAGGTTCTCATTAGTTATCTATTATATACATAGTATCAATAGTGTATATATGTCAATCCCAATCTCACAATTCATCCCACTCCCCCCTTTCCCCCTTGGTATCCATACATTTGTTCTCTACGTCTGTGTCTCTATGTCTGCTTTGTAAACAAGATTGTCTATACCAATTTTTTCAGATTCCACATATACGCATTAATATACGATATTCATTTTTCTGTTTCTGACTTACTTACCTCTGTATGACAGCCTCTGGGTCCAGCCATGTCTCTACAAATGACCCAGTTTTGTTCCTTTTTATGGATGAGTAATATTCCATTGTATATATGTACCACATTTTCTTTTTTTTTTAATTTTAATTATTTATTTTTTAACATCTTTATTGGAGTATAATTGCTTTACAATGGTGTGTTAGTTTCTGCTTTATAACAAAGTGAATCAGCTATACATATACATATATCCCCATATCTCCTTCCTCTTGCATCTCCCTCCCATTCTCCCTATCCCACCCCTCTAGGTGGTCGCAAAGCACTGAGCTGACCTCCCTGTGCTATGAGGCTGCTTCCCACTAGCTATCTATTTTACATTTGGTAGTGTATATATGTCCATGCCACTCTCTCACTTCATCCCAGCTTACCCTTCCCCCTCCCCATGTCCTCAAGTCCATTCTCTATGTCTGCGTCTTTATTCCTGTCCTGACCCTAGGTTCTTCAGAACCTTTTTTTTTTTTTTTTAGATTCCATATATATGTGTTAGCCTACAGTATTTTTTTCTCTTTCTGACTTACTTCACTCTGTATGACAGACTCTAGGTCCATCCATCTCACTACAAGTAACTCAATTTCGTTTCTTTTTATGGCTGAGTAATATTCCATTGTATATATGTGCCACATCTTCTTTATCCATTCACCTGTTGATGGGCACTTAGGTTGCTTCCATGTCCTGCTTATTGTAAACAGTGCTGCAGTGAACATTGAGGTGCATGTGTCTTTTTGAATTATGGTTTTCTCTGGGTATATGCCCAGTAGTGGGATTGCTGGGTCATATGGTAGTTCTATTTTAAGTTTTTTAAGGAATCTCCATAGTGGCTGTATCAATTTACATTCCCACCAAAAATTCATGAGGGTTCCCTTTTCTCAACACCCTCTCCAGAAATTATTTTTTGTAGATTTTTTGATGATGGCAATTCTGACCGGTGTGAGGTGATACCTTATTGTAGTTTTGATTTGCATTTCTCTAATAATTAGTGATGTTGAACATCTTTTCATGTGTTTGCTGGCCATCTGTATGTCTTCTTTGGAGAAATGTCTATTTAGGTCTTCTGCCCATTTTTTGATTGGGTTGTTTATTTTTTTGATATTGAGCTGCCTGAGCTGTTTGTATATTTTGGAGATTATACAATCATCCTTATTGATTACATAGATGTTTTCTTTATAAAAAGAGTACTGATTTTTCTTATTATCTAACAAGGAATCCCAACATTATATACAATTAACTCATTAATCTAAGATGATTGTTTTCAACGTATCTGATCCAATACCTCTTTTTTATGATAAATATTTTGTAACACTTCCTTTACTATCCTGGAGTGAAATTCAGAGTAAATGTAAACATCTATATGAATACATTTTAAATAGTTAATATAATGTCCTAATTGTAATATGAAGGAGAAAGAGAGGGAAATAATAGTAAGGAAGTGTATATTTCAATATGTAAATGCCCAGGTATGAATAACCAAAGAGGGACAACGCAAGAGAGACAATTGCTTGCACCCATTAGTACGTGCCCACTACTGACACTGACAGTAGTGGGCACGTACTTATTATTAATGATCATATCTTAAATTTGTATTAATGACTCACATACAATACTAAACAAAATAAACTTTCTCTTAATTCATACAGTGGTTGTCTTTCTAAATAATTCAGTATTTACTAAAATAGTGCAGAACCTACTTTGTATTTATGTGTAAAGTAGCCTCCAGTAATATGTACAGTGCTGGATAGGCTAATAGACACTGTAAAAACTTTACTTACTTGTAGAAAAAAGCATATACAGAAATAAAAATTAGTACCTAAAACTTACTAATCTTTCCCTTCTTTCCACTTCCCACAGATTAGTATAGTTTTTGAAAAATTAGCGAGTGCAACATGATCTTCCATCAACCATTCCCAACCAAACACAGATGAACACATTAAGTGAGGAAAAGGAAAGGAAGGGGACCCAATTTTTTACTTTTTAACCACTGAAGGGAAATAAGATGGAATATTTTTCAGCTATCACAGAGCTATCACATTTTCTCATGGTCCCCTACTAGAAGAAATACGGTTTGTACATTAAACCAAGGGAAAGTTAATAATTGCATGTGGTTTTGCATATATGGTAAACTTACCTTCTAAATTTTCTGGTAGTCTATCTCATGTCATAATACGTGTAAACATTTTTCTTAAATCATATGTTCAATTTTTGGTTTAAGATTTATGGACCCCATATGTATGGCTATCATATGATTCTAAAGTAATAACACTCTTCATTTAGCAGTTTTGTTACTTTATTTTCATAGATAGGTCATACACACTCAAAAATTATTTTGAGAAATATCGAAATAGCGGTTTAAGTCACTGTTATTTTGCAAATATTTTTGTATACTTTTCCACATTCAAAATTGGATTTTGAATCTACCTGCCTTCCTGCAACATATTAAGTATCATGGTTATGTATTTTTGAGATTTTCCTTAAAAATTATCATTATAATATATTTGACAAGCAAAAAAAGAGGAAAGAGAAACAAAGAAAGAGACATTGTTAGCAGATTCTTGATTTTTTTAAGAGTAAATCCTGATATGTAACCATAGCATAGAATTTCTTCCATAAAAGGTGAAAGAAAAAAAATGAATAAAGAAATGAAGGAAAAAGAAAAAAATAATGGGCTCTTTCATATGCTAACTCATGTTATACAAATTGGAGTAATGTTATTATTTATCTGTCTGGAGCATTTGATGAACAATTTCCCAAGTAATCTTGTTTCTTCATAAATTGTATGGTATATGTATTCATTTTATAGATCCGACTCACCTATTCAACCTTCTATTTCTTAATTTAGCTAAAACTGCTATTTTCTGCCTAAGAATATTTATTTAATTAGAACTTTAAACAGTCTTTATTTCCAATACCAGCTATAATAGTTTACTTGTAAGGGAAGTTTTTTTCCCCAAAACAAACAGCTTTTTTCCCAAACAAACTTTAATTGCTTCTCTAAAATATGATTTCTGTGGAAAATTAAGTGTATGGCATCCAGGCCCTCATTCTTGCATGAAAATAATATACTTGGGCTGAGTAGCATCACCCCCCTTTAATATGACTGCGCCCCCTTACGTGCCATCTTTTGTAACACTCTTTATTGTTTTTATGTCATTGGATTTCTTTTTATGCCATTTATTATCTTTTCTGACTGGACTCTATCATCTTTTGAATTTTTGACCTAGGTCCTGAGGTTAAAGTATAATTTAAATTTATATTTATTTCAGGATTAATTTTTATTGATTGGCAATTATGGTTGTTTTGATTATAAAAATCTATTACTTGTATGTTGTGCAAATATTATCTGCCACATTTTTTAATAATCACTTTCTGAGTCTTTATGTTGACTATGAAGTTGATAAATCAATTATGCTATAAATCAGTACTATTGTATTTCATACCATAGAATTATCAGAAGTAAAGGAGACTTTATATAGTCTTTGGTTTATTTTCCAGACTGTACCTCTAACCTACCTACATGTTACCTCCTTGTACAGATGAGGCACAGGAAAAATAAGCATTTTGCCAAAGGCTGTCAATTTTAGTAAAGACAGGTCTGGGGCCAGATCCTCCATACCTCAATAACTGACCTCATAGTCTAGTACTCTCTCTTATGAATCATTTCTCCTGGGGATAAATTTGCACATGTAAAAACCTCTCTAAAACAAGTGTGTTTATATGGAAAGTTTTGTAATTTTGTTCATTGTTTTATTTTTCATATTATTTTAAAATACTACTATCCCAAGGTAAATTATTCTAATTTACCTATTTTATTTCAAACAGATCATGTTGTTTGTGAAGAAGAGTTTAAATACGCCATGTTAGCTTTAAACTGTATATGCCCAGCAACATCTACACTTATTACACTACTGGTTCATACCTCTAGAGGGCAGTAAGTATATTTTTTCTTTAAGATAATGCATTTTAAATTATAAAACATATAAGTGCAGTTATGTGATTTAGAAATACAGTAGTAAGCCTAGGTATACAGCTAGATATGTACCTATACTTGTATTTGTGTGAGTTATCATCATCTGACAGATAGATAGGTAGAGAGACAGACAGACAGATACAAAACTGTTATAGGGTCCAAGCCATATAGGAAATTGACAGTGATTTGCTGTCTTTTCTAACTAATCTTGATATAGTTTGTTTCATCCTAAATTTTATGTCTTCATCACTTGTCAGGCCTAGCATTAGGGCATTGTTTCTATTTTCAAGATTAGTAATTCTCAAATAAAACTTGTAAAAACAGGATGACAGCAGTCATTACTGTATGGCCTTAAAGCTGGTTTTTTTCTGTTTCTGAGGTAAGTTTTTATCTGAAAGCTACATGTGCACAAATGAGCTCAAAATTAAAATTTTATAATTATTATGGAATGATAACAAAGTAGTTGATAAAATCAGCTAATGTAGTATAAAAGAAATAATGTTTAATATGAATTTCAGGGTATTGAGGGAAATTATATCATCAAAACATTTTTTCCTATTTGTTTATTTTGATAGAGTTTCATAAAATATAGAGGTTGTTTTTGACTTGCATAATCGAGTAAAATACAATCAGCGAACATAGTCACTGCCCTTATTTAAAGACAAATGTTGCACTGAATTGCGTACTTTTCATATTCCTTACTTGATATTTTAGACAAAATGTTGATTTTCTAAGTAAATTCCACCATGGTGCTTGTAGTTATGAAAATTTAAATTTAGTGAGTTAATTAATAGTTATTTAAGTGAAGTGCCAAATCAGATAAGTCAAGGAAAAGGAAAATTCTTTCCTGGGATTTAGTACTGGACGGAGGAAAGTGCTAATTGAAAAATAGTAAATGCCCTCTGGTATTTTAAGTGGATTTTACTCTCTTACCTCTAGTTACGTCTCTGTTCTATTGAGACAGAAAGATTTTCCCAGGAGCAATTTTCTCAAAGTTCTGAATATAAATGTTTCTATTCTATAAATTTATAAGCCTTTAAGATTTGCAGTGGAAAGGATGTAACAGGATCATGGATGAAATTGATTTTCTTTGATGGACATACTTAGCATTTTGATGGAATTAAATAAAATACTGAAAGCTGTTTTGTCACCAACTAATTGAATGTTCATAGAACTTATCATATGGCTTCATTATTTTGTCATCCATCTTTGTCATAGAATCATACAGCTTTAGAGCTGAATATCTAGCCCAGCTTCTCTCTTGCACAAATGATAAAATGAGGCCCATCACCACTAACACACATTAGTATTTATAGATTGGTTAAATTACATTTTCCAACTCCTAGTAAATATTATTTATTGGCACACAATATTGCCTGGTGAACAAATTGCACTTAACATAAATTTAAAAAGAATTTCAGCGACACTTAAAATAGGACTTTTCCTGATATACTCTAATGAATTTTGTCATATTAAAAATGAAAGTGATGTTGTTGAATACATTGTTACCACATAATTAAGGATTTCCCGTAAGTAAGATTGACCTACAAAATTATTTTCCAGTTAAGTGATACAATAAATGCCTTAGTCTACCAAAATAACCCTCTTTATAGCAGCTTTATTGAGATATAGTTCACATACCATATAATTAACACATTAAAGTATACAATGTAATATTTTTAGTATATTCATAGAACTGTGCAACTATCGCTGCTAACTCCTAATATTTTCATCATCCCATAAAGAAATTCTTTACCTTTTTGCAACCGCCCACATTGTATCCAAACTCTTTCAACCATAGGCTAATCTTACCCTGTCTCTATAGATTTTCCTATTCTGGACAATGCATATTGCATATAAATGGAATCATACAATATGTGCTTTTTTGTTTTTTGGACTGGCTTCTTTCACTTGGCATAATGTTTTTAAAGTTCATCCATATTGTAATATGCATCACTACTTCATTCCTTTTTATAACTGAATAATTTTCCATTGTATGGGTGTATTTCATTTTACTTTCCTATTCATCAGCGGGTGGATATTTGGGCTGTTTACGACATTGTGAATAAGGCAGGTCTTAATATTAATGTAAAGATTCTTGTGTGGACATGTGCTTTAATTTCTTTGGGTCTATATCTAGGAGTGGAATTGCCAGGTCATCGGGTAACTCGATTTAGCCTTTTTTAGGAACTGCCAGAATGTTTTCTGAAGGGATTATAGCATCTTACATTGACACCAGCAGTGTATCATGGTTCCAATTTCTTCATGTCCTCATCAATGCTTGTTATCATCTGCCTTTTGCATCATAACTGTCCTAGTGGATGTAAAGTGCTGTCTCGTGGTTTTGATTTGCATTTTGCTGATTACTAATAATGTTGAGCATTAGTTCATGTGTTTATTGACCACTTTCATATCACCTTTGAAGAAAAACCTATTCAGATCTTTAAACAGATAAATACCATCACTTGAATATAAATAGTCATCCAAACAGATCACTTAAATTTAAAATACCTATTATATTTTATTAAGAATATTGTATGACTAAAGTAATTTGTATTGTCTTCTGTATTATGAGTTAAATGAAGGTGTAGTTAAGATTCAGTTATTAACAGAATATGTTTGAAATTTTGCCTTTGAGCATCAGCAGAAATCAGAGAGCTCAAACATATTGATTTAATAATAAGAGAACGAACTAGGGAGCTGAATTAAGTAGTATAATGGGGAAAATGTTGAATAGTCTAGGAAATGCTTTATGCAAAGATTATCAAACCACTAATTGACAAAAAAGCTTACGATAATACTCAAATTTCCCCATTAAAAAAGGAGAGAGAATAATATTATTAGAAGTTCATCATATCATAAATGAACTTTTAATGGTGATTTTTGACTAAAAATAGTTGATATTGACAAGCTAAACACATTAAGACCCAACAAACACAGACATAAATATAATACAAAACCTAAAATAGTCTAACTTAAAAATATATTTTAAAATTAAGTGCTCTGTAGATTATGGGTATTTAAGGAAAATAATAAATATGAGTTCTGGAACAAATAAAATAGACAAAGGAAACAGGAGTTAGAGATAGAAAGGTCAGCTCTTTTAGTGACAGACCTGCCTTAGGTCTGAGAATGGAGTTCCTAATTCAGCCTTAGAATTAGATTTGCTCACTTAAAAAACACCTTCGTCCTTTTCTTAGTTCTCTTCCTCTAGCCCGTGATAATGGGGAGAAAGATGGAAACCATATATTAAGTACGAATTGCCTACCTCTGTACTTTTCTATGGGGAATATTAATTTTAAAAATATTTTGGAGTCTCTGGAGCAACTTAGCTGGGACCCTGAACAATATCTCCCAAGGCTCATTAATGCTGTCATGATCTTACATTTTCTTTTCCTAGATGTTAATGGACTCATCTTGTTCTATTTGATCTGTGAGTCAACTAGATGATGCTAACTTTAGGTGACTTTGAATAACTGTGCTCCTTTTGTTCATTCAAGTTTACTCTGTATTTTAGCCCTTCATAGTTTTCCCCTCTCACTCACTTCATTTACATTTGAGGACTCAGTGCTCTTGGCAGAGGTATTTCTTATTGTCAATTAAATTAACATTTTGAATTATTTGGCAAACGCATTAGAAAGAGGAACAGAAGTTTATTCTTTGGATCGATATCACTGTAGGCTGTCAAACAGGTGATGATTTTAGCAAGGAGATGCCAAATTATCAGAACAGTTAGTAGACCTTCAATTGGCCCATCTTGATGACATTTTGTCTCTATCAAAATTTAATTTTTTCTTTTCCTTTCCATTTACTTCCATGAAAATATTTATTTATTTCATTAATCCCATCCAAGAGGTAATATTTTTGCTCTTAGTGATCCTCAATGGGAAGGAAAGAGAGAATTGATAAGAAAAATATTGCAAAGTTAGAATTTACACAACTTGGCCACTGATGAGTTATGGATGTAGAAAAGAGAAAAAAAGAAAAAAATCCCTTTACACACTGAGGTTTGACAGTAGAGAACTATAAAATGTGTGGTTTGTGCAGGAGAAAGGAGTTTGGTATTGGATCTATTTGCTTTCTGATGCGGGTATCATTGCTCGTGGAAATTACTGCTACTCTTGGTTCCGGAGGAGAGATCAGGGTTATTCAGGGCCACAGAGGTGAAAGCAGAAATGGTGGGGATTTGGGGAAAATGACCACTTAAGGCTTTTCCTTAGGAAACAGATGGAAGAAAAGGACAGCAACTATAGTATAGCCTAACAGAACAAAAAGGAGCAAGGATTTCTAGAAAGAACTAGATGGTTGACAATACAGACGATTTAAGATGGAGAAGACAAACAGAATTAGTAGGTCACTGGTCTCTGGGAAGTTCTGAGAAAACAATTTTGGACGATGGAGACTTTCTCATTTTGAGATAGTGTGAACAAATAAGGAGATGATAAGAAAGTGAAGCCTGGTCGAAGGCCGCCACTTCATTAAGTTTGTCCAGGAAGATAAGAAAGAAAAATAATGAAAGCTCTATTGCACAGCAGATAGTTCTGCTGGTTCCACAGAAAGCTGCTTCTTTGATCATGGCAATTAAGAAAGATTGTCTGTATATCCCTGGTGGTCCTGTCTCCATTTCTCCCATCACACACACACACACACACACACACACACACACACACACGCACACACGCACACACACGCACACACACACACACTTCAAGACTGGAGGTCTGAATGGGGTAATTGCAAGAAAGGGAAATGATATACCTCTGAAGGTTACTCATTTTTCTTTTATATAAAATAATAACATGGACTGAAAATCTCCACAGAACTACATTTTATTAGGTGTATCCAAAATCTGTTTGATTACCCGAGAAATGTTTTTCCTAATCACGCCTATTAAAAGATTAACTAGAGGGCTTCCCTGGTGGCACAGTGGTTGAAAGTCCGCCTGCCGATGCAGGGGACAC